CTCATTCACTCACTCATCCTTTCCTTTCCTTTAATCTCTGGGCTTCTTTCAGACCGAATGCGCGATCTGTCAAAAGAAAGGAATCAATTACCCTAAATGTCCGTAGATTTTTTTTTTTTCTTTTTTCAGCTCTATCATCCGAAATCTATCTTCTTGAGCAATGTTTGATTGTTGGATCTCTGCTAGGTCCTAAATGTCAACTCGAGTTTTGTAGTCGAAGTTGCAGGGTCTCGATGGGCGATGGCGAGCGTCATAAATGTGCTTAAAAACACACACACTCTCTCTCTCACTCACTCTCACATTTCTTTTGCCCTTCCTCTTTCTATCCCCACACATCACTTTTGTTTTGTTTTTTTTTTAAAAAAAGTGACATTAGCTCAATTGAGAACTAGTATTTATTAGCTAATCAACATCAACTACGGTCCAAAGGTTGGGTATACTTTTTGGAGATTTCTTATATGTATGTTATAGATAAGCTGTTTCGCTTTCAATCTTGGTTTTGGTTTTTTTTTGTATTGCTATTTTGATATACAACAATTCGATGATCATGCTTCTGCGACACTAGAGTCTTGATCTTCTTCTTCTTCTTATTCCTGTGTTTTTTGTTGTGATGGTGATGGTTCCTGAGTACCTAATTTCTTCACACGTTTGTTTCATTAGTTCATATCATCGTCCACTTACCCTAGATCTGAAGAAGAAGAAAATTCAAAACAGAGCGTGCAGATAAAAATATGGCAAATTGATCAGCATGATTAAGATGTACTACATGTGGGTGAGACACTATATTTATAGGGCCTTGCAGGAAAATAATGACTCCCTCGGATTTGTTGACACATCCCAAATACTGTTGACGGATGCCTGTTGGGAGTTGTTCCTCCAAATGGATGGCTGACTTTGGGAGTCAGCCATCCATTGATATTAATTTTTTTGGGAGTTGGCTCCCCAAACCACCCCTCACTTGACCGGAAGGAAATCCTTCTGGTTGACAGGGGATAATTACAGCCCCATTGCTTGGAAGGAATCCCTTCCGGTTGATGAGGTCGTTATACCCCCATGAACTGGAAGGGATTCCTTCTGGTTGACGAGATTTTTATCCCTCATCAATCGGAAGGGATTCCTTTGGTCCAATGAGATCAGTATACCTCATCAACCAGAAGGGATTCCTTCAACTCAAGTTAATGAGGTACAACAATCCCATTGGCCAGAAGAAATCCCTTCTGGTTGATGAGGTATACAACAACCTCATCAACCAGAAGGGATTCCTTCCAGTTGATGAGGTATAACAACCTCATCAACTGGACAGAATCCCTTCCGGCCGATGAGGTATAAACATCTCATTGACTGGAAGGAATCCCTTCCGGTCAATGGGGTATAATGACCTCATTGACAGGAAGGGATTCCTTCCGATTGATCGGGTTGTTATCCCCTGTCAACAAGAAGGATTTCCTTCCTGTCAAGTGGAGGCAACTCCCAACCCCCCCCCCCCCCAGTGCAAGGGGTGGTTTGGGGAGCCAACTCCCAAAAATTAAACATAAAAGATTAATATCAATGGATGGCCGACTCCCAAAGTCGGCAATCCATTAATGGAGGAACAACTCCCAACGGACATCTGTCAACGGTGTTTGGGAGTCATCAACAAATCGGAGGGAGTCATTTTTCCAAACCCCCTTATTAAATGACTCCAAAGGATTTGCCAACAACTCCCAAACAATGTTGCAGGATGTCCGTTGGGAGTTGTTCCTCCAAACAGATGGCTGGACTTGGAAGCTGGTGGTTTTTATTTTTAATTTTTTGGGAGTTGGCTCCACAACCATATCTCATGCTCCTCACACTTGGGGCAGTTTGTGAGGTGCTCCCACTTGACAGGAAGTAAATCCTTGTGGTCAATGAGGTATAACAGCCACATCAGCCAGAAGGAGCCCCTTCTTATCAATGAGGCTTTTGTGCCTCATAAACTGAAAGGAATCCCTTCCGGTAAATAAGGTATAACAGCCTCATCAACCAGAAGGGTTTTCTTCTGCTGTGGTAGCTGAATGTGTAAAAATTCAAAGTTTTTCATTACTCTTCATTCTTCTTCTCTGTTCATCATTTTTTCATATATTTCTTCTTAGCTACCATTCATTTGGACTTCAGATATGGATTCTAGGGCCCATTTTACCCTTGGTCACCACTGGAGGCATCTTCAAAACTGGATGTTACACACCTCTGGACATGTACAACACCAACGGTGGGCCGCTACACTAACTGTAGCGGTTAGTGTAGCGTAACGCAGCGGAATTACCATTAGCGTTAAGCGTAGCGTAGCGGAATTCTGCCACAACACCGCTAACGCTACGCGTGTGGGCCACAAAAAAGGGCCCACTACGCTGCGCTACAGCCGTTTTTAGCGGTTTTTAGCCGCTTTTTCCGCTAAAAGCGCTGTAGCGCAGCGTAGCGTAGCAAAAATGCGCTACAAAAGCGCTAACACTACAAAAATATGGCGCAAAAAAAGCGCCGCTACGCTACGCTTTTTGGGCCAAAAGCGTAGCGGCCCACCGCTGACAACACCCATGAATTACACTCAATCAACTACACAGGACAACTACACAACATCGTCAGAAGGGATTCCTTCCGACAAGCTGGTTTAAGTACCGCCTCTCCGGGAGGAACCCCTCCCGAAAAGCTGGTGAACAGAGGCTCTGGCTGGGAGGGGTTCCTCGCAGCCTCAAGCGGTTATTTTTTTTTTCTTGAAAAAAAACATCACACTCTGGGCTATCCCATAGGACCCAGGCCTGGGTCCTATGGGATAGCCCCTGTCAGCTCCGGTCTCTTATGTGACCAGGAGTTGATAGGGTTTTTGGGTCACACTATAGCCAAGAGGGCCAGTGGAAATGAAGTCCAACTCAACACTGGTACAGTGGAGGGACTGGCTCCTTATAAAAATAAGGGACAGCTGTAGAATGAGCTTCACAGTGCCTGAGCTGAAGGATTTATAAGGAAAAGGAGGTTTGTACTAGTCTTATAAGTTAAATAGGTAACTTATAAGGCTAGTAAGATGATAAAGAGAAATGTAATAACTAAAGTACAATAGTTTACTGTAAAAACAACACTCACTAAGTTGTTGTAATAACTAGTAAGGCACTTGGGTTTGTATGGTAATAATTGTCTGGGGGATGAATCTCAGGGGGAGAGCCATCCTCTCAAATATTACAGAGCAGGGGTCAAACTGCTGCTGGGACCAGTGTAGTCCCCTTATTGTTACACTATGCCTTTGGGGGAAAGTTTCAAGATATTCAAACATTCAAATGTACATGTGTTGAATATCTCTCTTATTTCAGAAAATGGAATTACATATGTAGAATATCTCTCTTATTTCAGAAGATACAAGAGAGATACACAAGAGAGATACACAAGAGAGATACACAGGATAAAAATCACTTGAATAAACACAAGAGATGATT